AGACAGAAGGGCTGTCGGGGGGGGTCTGTGAATCAGGTGTACCAGAATTACAGTGCTATCCATGTATCCCGTTTGCACACTTTTGAAATAAACTTCTGGAAAAACAAAACCAAACCCTTTTCAAGGCCATTCGATATCCTCCATCTGAACACTATGGACTACTTAAGCGTAAGCAGAGACTCTTCCCTGTCAGGTAACTAATGACTTACTATTCTAAGGAGGTATTAAACCAGGACCGAATAAGAGCTGAAAAACAAGCTTATCAGACGTGCCAAACCCATGGCTTTGCCTTACTATTGCCACAGAATTTTCCTCCCTCCTTTTTCCTGACTTCTTGCTTAAAAAAAAAAAAACAAAACCTTTTTTGGTGCTTCACTTCTAATCCTGCACGTCCTGAGCAAGGTAAGTGTTAGGTCATGCAAGCAGCCGGCGGGTAGCACGGGCCTGAGGCGGAGTGACAGGTTAGCAGTTGCCTGTTTTAGCCTGGTGAAGGCCCCCTCGGTGGCCCCCAGGGGCTGGGCTTGTGTTGCTGACAGCTGCGGGGGGGGGGGACACGCTGCAAGCTTGTCCTGGGTATATTGGGAGCGTGATTAGGGCTTTCGAGGCCTGCGGATACAGTCTCCTCTTAAACTGTGAGATGGATCCCACTTCGTCCTGCTTTGCTAAGACAGGAAACTTTTCTTTCTGTGCTCCAACTAGAGTGTCTGTCCAGGACCAACCGTGTCCTGCGTGGAGCCTGCCGTTGAATAAGATGTATGTACACGTGGCTGGAGGATTTTAAGTTTATCTGTACATCAGCTGCTTTCATGTAATGGATCTGTGGACATCTTTCTGTAAAGCAAAACATGATGGGACCTGTTCTGAAGCCTCATTTGCTTGTTTTAAAAAAAATACATTAAAATACTTGAATTTTTCAAGACTTTGCTTAGACTGCTTCCTGGAGCACAGTGTCTGAGGACTTTGATTTTTATTTGGCTGCTGCCGAAGCCAAGAAGCAAAGCGGGCAGTGACAGCGGGCCCACTTCTAGTTCTATGTGCTGTCTTGTACCACGCCACGGGGTCCCACCGATGCTGCCACCGAAGGGCTGGCAGCATCACACGTGCCTGCCAGACTGTTGGAGGTGGCATAGCACACGTGGCACCAGGGGCACGGCTGGCAGGCAGGTTGGCTTTCCCTGGAGAAAGAGCTGGGCTTTGCAGGTGATTAGTTTAGTTTTCGTCAGGTAAGAGCCATCCCAGGGCGGCGTTGGAGGACTGGCACAGGCCTGCTGGCGGATCGGGGAGGGCTGCGGCGTTTGCCGCTGCTCTGGCTCCGAGTCTCTGCAGTCGGGGCCCGTGAGCGCTGTGCAGAGGGGTCTCGAATGCAAGCAGGCTTTACGTTACTGCAATTTATTTATTATTTCCAGCCAGGTCCCTAGGGGTACACGGCTTCTTCAGCTGATGGACAGAGAGGAGAGACATGGGTTTGGAACAGGACAGCAGCTGGGCTTCATAAATTTTTAATGGTTAAGGAACAGCCCTTTTCTTTCCGTTTGCTTGTCCCCTCCTGCTTCTGTGGGAAGAACAGAGCAATAAAAGTTTCCTGCCTGGATGGTGTGTTGTGGCAGCAGAATCCCTGTGTGGGATTTCCTCTGCGCATCTGTCTGCACAGCCTTACAAATACACTTCACAAGCGAGGCAGCTGTTAACTGCATTTTTACCGCAAAATTTACTTGCCCAGTTTAACCACAGTGGTGGAAAAAGAAACTTTTATCCTGATGCTCCTGCTTTTTGCAAGATTAAATAAGGGTAACATTAAGAACCTGACAAAAGCAATTGTAGAAAGCCTGTATTAAGTTAGAGATTTTTGTTAGCGGTTAGCAGTGTTTTCCAGATGTTCTGATGACTGTCCTATAGACTGTTGTTAGCTGCGTGTCCCACTGTGTGTCACTGCTGAAAACGTTTGCGTAGTCGAATCCTCACTGCTGATTTTCGCGTTCACGGAGAAGCCTGTGCTTGCTCTGGAGTCACGGCTGCGCTGCTTTTCCTTCCCTCTGATGCTGAAGTTGCCAGAATACCCTGGCAGTATCTTTCAGACCGGTGCAATTTTGCAGTGCAGCTGGTCCAGGCAGGGCCTGATCCTTATTGACTAACTATACGAAGCAAATTTGGCGTAAGTCGATCCAAGGGCTTGGACATTTAAGCAAGGCATGCGAATAGCAGTAGGAAGGGGAAAATAACAGCTGCCGAGTGCTAGCCAGTAGCTTGTGGAAAACAGGCACCAGTTTCCAACTCCCAGTGTTCCCCTCCCATCTATCCCGGCTGTGCTGTACATGTGTTGATAAACAGGCAGATGCCCGGTTCCTCATTTGTTTTTGTTGTCCAGCCAAGCCCAAGGTAATTGCTCTTAACACGCCAGTGCCTCCAGTAACTTGTTTCGCTGGTGTTCTTCAATTATCACCTCCTCCCGCTGTCCTGACCAGAACGACAGATGTAGAGTTGTCCCAAAGATGGCATTTCTCTGCAAAGGCACCAGCTGTCAGAGCAGGTCTTGTGTGTTGGTGAAGAAGCAGCGAGACAGCTTGGTGTGTTGCAGCTGGCGGTCCTGCCGTTTTCCATGAGGCGGGGAGGAGGACAGGCTGTCTGGGATGTTTTGTACAGGAGCTTACGGGGATCTGCTTGCATTAACTATGAGCACTTGGCTGATTAGCTTAGCACTAAACACCCTTGTGACAATGGCTGGTACGAGGGGAATTCAAAATGGTCCCAGACTTGAGCTTGTTCAAATCCCCTTGAAGTAGATGACAACCTGAGACCACTAGCTTAGCTTTCACGAAGAATACTCGCTCCCCTCTCCCCTACCGTGCGAAGTATGTTTGAGTCTAGCAATGAAAGCATCCGTGGCGATGGGGAAGGGAGCGCGCGTACTACAGCTCATCGCTTTCTGGTAGAATCCGCACCCAACCTTGCGGCACCCTGTTGAAGTTGGGTCTGTGGGCGATCGCCTCCAGAGCGCTCAGGTTATCCAGCTCCGCGGCAGGCACAGACAACAGGTTGCTGACCAGTGCTCTGTCAAATGGGGTGGGAGCCCTGCGGCACGAGAAAAAGCAGACTTAGCACGTCGCGAGGAGAGGTTGTGCATGCGGTAAAGCTGACGGAAAAAGCAGGTCTGGATTTACTAACTCTGAGCCCAGCAGCAACCTAGCAATGCCCGTAGCAAATGACAACCCTCCTCTTCCTCCCCAGGGTGCCCTTAGAGTCTCTGCTAGCCCAGCGAGGTGCTTCTCTTGTACAGAGCCAACCTCAAGCTTTGGTGGGCCTGGAGAGCGGGGTTTGGCGCCTGAGCGCCAGTGGCTGTGCAGGGGAGGGAGGAAGCGCGTTCCTACCTTTACCATAGTCTCTCTTGATGGCCTCTGCCAACAGCAGTAGAGATGTTTTGCCTGTGAAGGGGGTTAGATTAAGAGCAGGTGATGGTGACAAACCCCCTGGTCTTTAGAAAATGACTTGTCCGCAGCTAATGTGTTCTGCAGAGGGCCGAGGCTGATAGTGCTGCCTCCTGATTGCTCTAGCACATGTGCAGGCAAATGTCTTTCTCTTGGCCCTGGCTCCAGTCTGCCTTTTGGGACAGCTTCTCTTGAACTATGACTAACGGGAGGAGCAGTGCAGGGGCAAGAGCTGTCATCCCTTTCTGGAGAAATGTGGAAAGGGACCGGGGAAGAGAGTGCCAGCCCCCAAAAAGCCAAGAATGTTGGTTTTGGAGCAGCACATGGAGGCTGAGCTATCAATGAGGCATAGCTGGGAATGTTTGCTTTGGGAAGCGCTGCTTGAACGTAACGTGGCACTGTTTTGCAACAGTGTCCTAGGGAGAAATAAGGAGGCGAAGGTAAATGAGAGAGGTTTGTTCCGGAAACTTTCTCCCTTTTGGGAAAAGACAGTTCTTTTCAAAGCTTGGTTTTCGCTGTCTCTTAAGGCAGCACACCTTAGCAAGGTGGCCAAAGGTGTTTGCCTCACAGCTTGAACATTTAAAGTTGGGAATAAATCAGCCTGCTTTAACGCAGTTGCTGTTGAGGTGGTGAACGTGCCCTTGCCCTGTGACCCATGTGAGCTGTGCTGGGATTCACCTAGCTTTAAGCAAGACCACTGGCTTCTCGCTAGCTGATTTGTTCCAAAAAGCTTGTTTTTCTGCAGTTTGGTATCTGATGAACTGAAAAGTGATTTAAAAGCCAACAGCTTGGAAGATCGTGAAAGCCCAGTTAAAAGCAGGTTGGCTGAATCTTCATGCCTCAGTGAAGAATTAGAGGAGGTGGCGAGGTGCTTGGTGTTAAATTAGCATCCATCTGTATTAAATAACAGGTCAAGGCTTTAAATAGGCAGCATGTGAGAGGGGAGAGAGA